GCGGCAGCAGTAGCAGCAGCACAAGCGCAGGCGCCAGCTTTTATTGTTCCTTGTAACGCCATTATTAGTACTAATATAAACAGGGGATGAATTTATGCTGAGCTGGCTAAGTCTAACTACGATCAACGGTAGCAGCAGCAGCAGTAGCAGCAGCAGCAGCAGCAGCAGCAGAAGCCTGCACGAGCCCCTAGGGCAGGGTACATGCAAGACACTGCCTTGGTCTGAGCATGAGCTGCTTGCGCAGCTTTCTTAAAAAAGAATATGTTTCAGTAAAAATACTTTTTACTTTGTTGCGGTTCCCGGTGCTTAACGGCAGCAGCAGCAAGCCGTCATCTCCACGGCCAGAACAGGTCACTCGAAAGCCCCTGCTGCTGCCGCCGCAGCAGCAGCAGCGGATCGACGCTGCAACAGCGCAGCAGACACACACCTGCAGCAGCAACCTCTGTTGCTGCTTCTTCTGCCAATGGGATCTGCTATTCTCTTGTACTTGTTTCCCAGCCAGCATACAGCAGAGCCGCCCCGAGGGTGAGCCGGGGTGCTCCGTCGTTGCTGCAGCTGCTGCTGTGACTGCTGCTGCCGTGACGGCGTAGAACAGTTTGTGTACCGCCTGATGCCTCTCTGGAATGCATAATAACCCCTGAGCTGGGGCGCCTGGACTCTGCTGCTGCAGCGGAAGGGAGAGCGGCAGCAGCAGCAGTCAAGCAGCAGCAGCAGCAGCAGCGCTAGCAGAAGTTGCAGCTGGATTGCTGTGCTGCCAAGTTACTGGAGGTGCGGGCGTTGAGAAGCGGGGCCTGATGCAGCAGGCGGGGGTGTCTTTCTGCCGCTTTCTGTTGCTGCTGCGCCTGTTGCTGCTGCTGTGGGCTGCTGCTGCTGCATCTGCTTGCATCGATCTGAGGCAAACAAGTAGTAAGATAGAAGCTCGGCAAGGAACACAAGCAACAGAAGAGGTAACAACAGCTGTTGCTGCGGCTACAACGCAGCAGGAGCGAATGGCCGACGAGTACTAGGGGATAAAGGCGAGGGGGCAGCAGCAGCAGCAGCAGCAGCAGCAACAGCAACAGCAACATTTTCAGAAGTAGTAGCAGCATGAGGGGAGCAACAGCATCAGCGCCTGAGTGGAAGATGGAGGGACTTGGGCGGGAGATGAAGACCGGCTGCAACGACTCGATCGGCAGCAGCAGCTGCTTCACGCCGCTTTCTTTACAAGCTGAATGCCTAACAGCACCCCCAAGAGCAAACTTGCTGCTGCTGCAGCAGCCTGCATCTACTCCCCAGAGGCAGAAGCAGCTCCCGCTCAAGCATGCAGACGTGCAAATGCTCCAGAAGCAGCAGCAGCAGCAGGAGCAGCAGCAACAGCAGCAGCAGCAACAGCAGGAACAGGAGCAGCGGCAGACGAGGTATACACGTAATGTGAGGAGCAGGCCTAAATTCATGGCTGCTGCTGCTGCAGCAGCATTCGCTCTGCGTTCTCTCCAAAGGCGTCCGCCCCCAGCCAGTGCCCAGAAAGCTCAGCAGCAGCAGCAGCAGCAGCAGCAGCAGCAGCAGCAACAGCACAACTACCACCAGCACAGCGAGCTCGAAGCTCGTGAGTCGAAAACAGAGTTCACAGATCAATATACATCAAAGCGAACGAGTGGGTGGGGAGAGAAGCAAGCATACGAACAGCAGCAGCAGCAGCAGTGGAGGAAGCAACAGCAGCAGCAGCAGCAACAGCAGCAACAGCAGCAGCAGCAACTAAGTGTCCCAGGAATGTTGCGAAGGAAAACATTTGAAACAACTTTGGCAAGGTTCCTTGGCAGGTGGGGAGATCGTCCTGGGGCTGCTGCAGCAGCAGCTGCTGCAGCAGCCGCAGCAGCAGCGGCAGCTGCTGCTGCTGCTTCTCCAGCCGTTGCCGCTGCCCCTGCTGCTCCTGCTGCTTCAGCTGCCGGTGTAGTGGCCAGCACTACAGAAGTATACACAGGCACAGGCGACACATCAGGCAGCTCTCTCTGCGATTCTGAGGCGGTGGTTCCCTACAGTAGAAGCCTAGCGTCGGCGTGTTCCGTGCAGCAGCATGGGGAGCAGCAGCAGCATGAACACCAACGGCAGCAGCTTGAACAGCAGCACCAACGTGAACAGGAGCAGCAGCATGAACAGCAGCAGAAGTGTGAACAGGAGCAGCAGCACGAACAGCAGCAGCAGCATGAACAGGAGCAGCAGCATGAACAGCAAGAGCAACGTGAACAGGAGCAGCAGCATGAACAGCAACAGCAGCAGGGGGAGCAGCAGCTGCAGCAGGAGCAACAGGCCAGACAGGATATGGAGTACTCCCTTGAGCAACAGTGCAACCTATACAGCATCGAGTCCTTCTTATCTGTTGCATCATCCGACGACATGCCGTCGCAGCAGCTGCAGCCGCAGCCGCAGCAGCTGCTGCTGCAGTTCTCGCGCTGCTACAGCAGCGGAAGTGATGTTGGAGCTCTTGCTACAGCTGGAGAGACGACGGGAGACGATCCAGCAGTGAGAGACTCTGCAGCAGCAGCAGCAGCAGCAGCAGCAGGTGGAGAAGCCGCTGCGGCGTATTGCCTGCCGGCTTCTTTCAGGAAGCAGCAGCAGCAACAGCAGCTGTCTGAGGAGCACTCCATAGCCTGGGAGGCAATTACAGTTGAAGGCAGCAGCAGCACAAGAGATCGCAGCAGCGGCAGCAGCAGCAGCAGCAGCAGCATGAGCTGCCGGGCAGCAACCAACTTATTTGAATCTGCCTTGAGGGCTGAAGACTCAGCCGATGAAGAAGCCGCTGAACCGGAGAGTCTGCCGTCTCCTCCTGCTGCAGANGAAGCTGGAGCAGCAGAAGCTGCGCCAGCGGAAGCAGCAGCTGAAGCAGCAGTAGTAGCACCAGCAGATGGAGTAGCAGCAGATGGAGTAGCAGCAGCTGCAGCAGCAGCAGCAGCAGCAGCAGCAGCGGCAGAAGTACAGGTTGGACGTGCGCCGCAGGCCAAGCCAGTCGCAGCAGTGCCCAGATCGAGGAATTCTTTATTCAAGAATGCAGCTGCTGTCGATTGGCTCATAGCGCGGCAGCAGCAGCAGAGACAGCAGCAGCTGCAGCGACTCCACACGTATCAGGGGGGTGTGCTGCGTCCGACAGCAAGGCACAGCAGCAGCGGTCTAACTGAATCGAATACAGCAGCAGTAGCAGCAGCAGTTGCACCAACAGCAGCAGCAGTTGCAGCAACAGCAGCAGCAGCTGCACCAACAGCAGCAGCAGTTGCACCAACAGCAGCACCAGTTGCAACAACGGCAGCGCCAGCAACACTTTCTGGAGCAGCAGCACAAACATCAGCAGCAGCGTCAACTGCAGCAACAGCACCAACGCTACCACCACCACCAGCTGCAGCAACGTCCTGCGAAGGCAAACGAATCGTCAAGAGGGTGCTTCCTCATCAGCTGCGCGCTCTGCGCCAGCTCTCCCGTGCTGCAGCACATCCGTTGCGTCCTAAGGGGCTGCATGCAGCAGCAGAAGCAACAGCAACAGCAACGCAGCCGTCAGCAGCTGCTCAGCACACTGGAGTAGCACGGCCCCACGTAGCAGCACCTTTGCCTCCNCAACGCAGCCGTCAGCAGCTGCTCAGCACACTGGAGTAGCACGGCCCCACGTAGCAGCACCTTTGCCTCCAGTGCCACCCAGCCTATCCCGGCGCTTAACAGCAGGAGAGCGAAGGAGCCAAGGACGTGTATCTCCCGCAGGGGATGCGTCTATAGACGGCGCAAACTGCGTGGGGGCCCCAGGAGTAGAGAAAGCAGCGGAGGTGCAGTTTCAGCAGCAGCAGCAGCGTGAGCAGCAACAGCAACAGCAACAGCAGCAGCAGCAGGTGCAGGTGCAGCAGCAACGGGATGTGCCACAGAAACCGCTGCAGCGCCTCTTCAGGCCTCACCACAAGGACAGCCACGGCGCGTGGGCAGCCTCCGAGCGGCCTGCATCAGCAGGGCACCGCAAAGCAACAGCAATAGGAGCAGCAGCAGCAGCAGTGGCACGGGTTGTTGGGGAAGCAGCAAAGAAAGGCGCAGACGCAAAAGCTGCAGCGGTAGTTCCTGGCCAGGGGTCACCTCCGCTGTCATCTTCTGCATTGCTGCAACAGTTTGCTTTTCAGCTGACACNGTTCCTGGCCAGGGGTCACCTCCGCTGTCATCTTCTGCATTGCTGCAACAGTTTGCTTTTCAGCTGACACCATGGGAACGCAGTGAAGTTCTTGAATACCCAACAGTCTGGTACTGGGGGTATCTAAGGGAGAGGCCAGCAGGTACAGGGCGCGCATCTGTATACGGCGGCCCATATACCCCTGCTTCTGCTGCTGCTGCTGTTGCTGGGGGCCGGGCTGTGGCGAGGGCCTTGGGTAGATCTCCCAAGGGTTTGTACCACCCATCAGCTTCAATGTCTCTTCTAGATGGAGACGATGGCACTGCGTGTGGAGAGCTGGGGGCTAGCAGCAGCCATAGAAGCAACACGATGAGCAGAAGCAACCGACAGCTCATGAATACGACAAGTGATAGCGCATGCAGCTACTTCTGCGATGCGAAGGGGGACTATGTGGTATTTGCGAATGACCACATTTGTTATCGTTTTCAGCTGCTGCAGCCACTAGGCACTGGTTCCTTTGGTCGCGTGTTTCGGGCTCTTGATCACAAGACTGGCGAGGAAGTGGCTGTGAAAATCTTAAAAAACAAAAGCAACTTTCACGCTCAGGGGCAAGAAGAAGTGAACGTGCTGCAGCATCTGTCTGCTCTGGACAAGTCAGGGAAAGCACACATCGTACGCCTGCGGGAAAGCCTCATGTTTCGGGGTCACTTGGTTCTTACCTTTGAACTGCTAAGTTATAATTTGTATGCGTTCTTGATGAACAACAAATTTCGGGGGTTTGCGCCTATGGCGGTGCGCAGCGTAGCTTTACAACTGCTGCGGGCACTCCGGCTATTGAAAAAGGCACAGGTCGTACACTGCGATCTGAAACCAGAGAACATAGCCCTAGTAGCAGGCCGCAAGAGTACNAAAAGGCACAGGTCGTACACTGCGATCTGAAACCAGAGAACATAGCCCTAGTAGCAGGCCGCAAGAGTACCGTGAAGCTGATAGACTTTGGTAGCAGCTGCATGGAAGGCCGCCAGCAACATAACGCCTACATACAGTCGAGATATTACAGGGCCCCTGAGATATTGCTGGGTCTACCATATGGGCCCCCCATTGATATGTGGTCGTTGGGCTGTGTTCTGGCGGAGCTGCATAAAGGCACGCCGCTGTTTCCAGGGGTTGATGAGGATGACCAGTTGCAGACAATTGCTTCGTTGCTGGGCTTTCCCCCTACAGACTTGATCCTACGATCCCCACGATCCGCGGTATTCTTTGAAAAGAATGCAGAAGGGGGATTCTCCTTTCTCAAAGCCCGCTCAAGCAGACAGAACAGGGAAACACCAAACTCCTGTGGATCGCACTGCCGCACACGCCTTGAATGTGCGCTCAGCCCCGCAGAAAGTTCCTTTGTAGATTTCCTTAAAGGTAAGAACCTCATTCAGCTTCTTCACACCCCATCCCCCTCTGGCTGGCCATTCAGCCCCCTCTAGTTTGCTGCTACACTTAGACTGAATTCTCTGTTCTCTTGGTTGCTGCGTCGTCAGCA